TATGATCAGCGGCGGAAACCTGCAGTCTAATAAACACAGTTTAGACACCATGGGACTAGAGTCTAACTCTAACATTATTATGCAACGAGTATAATGTGGTTTGTTCAAATAGACGGTCGCTTAACTGATTACATAATATACCCTTATACCTGGAGTATTTGTGTCAGTGACTGCCTAAGAAAATAGTCACCAAGCCTAGATGCCATTGTTGCAACAGGTATGCTCTGTGCCAAGGCAGTAAAATGATTGCGACCAGCTCTATTACTCTTCCAGTTTCTAGAATATTCTATGAAGAAGTAATGGGTGTGTTCAAGTATGATAAAGAAGAAATAGAGTTGCCTGGAAACGGTCTTTTTATCACAATGCTAGACAAACAAGAAGCTACTTAAGCTCTCACAACTACAGCTTCAAACTCTCCATAATTAGTGGTGCATTCTTATAAAAGTCTCTGCCACTGTGACGGGCTTTGCCCGGATTGGGACTGGTCACTAGGACCACTCCGTCTCCGAGGTAAGGTAGTGGCAGGGCAATGCTCCTGGGTAGACGAATGGGGTGCTAAGGGGGTATCAAAGGGGATACGCACCAGATGTGGAGTATGATACAGGAGAAGAGTTGTGCCGGGAGAAAGGATTATTCTCAAGTGGACAATGGAGGGAGTTAAGACTAGTCTACACAGAGCATATAACGGATGGGAGAGTACGTGGTAGATGGTCTTCCCAAGGAAGAAGTTATTAATTCCTATTGAGTTATTGTCTTTCAAGTACATCTGAATTCATTAAACCCGTACAGCCATAGACACCAAATGAAGAAATCCAAATTTCTGAGATCATTGTGGATTTGCAAGCAACTAGAAAGTATTTGTGCTGTTTAGATCCAACTTATCCAAATCTTTCCTCAATTTTGTTACTTAGCCTAGAAACATGGTGATTAAGATTTAGACTAAGGAGATTCAAAGATTTTAATGTACATACAAGACGAAAACGATCACGAGAGCTCACACTATCAAGATGGGTCTATCACCAGCATGTATCAGAAAGTCCCGAGATTCTCGGGGTGGCCACACCATCGGCTCGTTTATGGCTGAAGTAACTCAAAAGGAGGAGCTATGGAGATAGGTAATATTAGGAACAAGAGTGGTGGATGATTTGAGTTTCGTATGTGAAGAAGAGCAAAACAAGAATAATCAAACCCATGGATTCTCAGGAACTGGCTCAAATAAAGTCCCAATTATCCCTCCGCAGATGACTTGGTAGGATTTGAGACAGGTTAGAGAAAACCATATAGACGCAGATGCGGTAAAGATAAAAAGATGGAATCCAGAAAGGTCGAAACGAAGTTAGAAGTGCTTACGCCGGAACTACTGATGAATCATAAATTGAGCTTTTCAGATTTAGACTCACTAGCAAATTTCGAAGCTTTCCCAGTAAGAGCGAAGGCCATACGTTCTGAAGAAGACCAAGACGATGTTGAAATTGGTGCTTCCGATTATGGTAAAGACAGGGATGTGTAGAATACACGTCACTAATCTCCCATTAATTGTGAGGTTAGTATTAATGCGCTTTGACGTAAAAACAAACCACTAGATTTTATTATTACAAAATATAGTTGATATAACACTCTGTGTCCTAGTGGGAGTAATTAACAACTCTCCACGACAAATTTACAGACTTCTCTACTTTCCCACTCGCTTCACCAAGTGTTATAATCTGTGCCTATCAGCCACTAGCATTTGAAAACCAATCCGCTCAACAGAAACTACCATGGTTACACTTTATGATAGAAGTAAAAGGGTCGCTGTAATACATAGCGTTGGTTTATCAGAGGACCAGTATGCAAATATGACGCTCGAATCAGATGGCCGACTTCGGAAGACTCCAGCTAAAGTTCGAGATTTAGTTGAGCCAAAAGTTTATCGCAGGCATAAAGAAATGCTACCGATTATTCCTCCAGTCGTAGAGATAGTTCAGGGCGAGGAAGAGTCTATGCCGAAGCTGAATGTCACCAATAATGTAGTCCCTGATATTTCTATTAATGAGATAGCTCCGGAAGCATCAAACAAATCAGATATTATTTAAATACCAATGGAATCAAAATATCTTCGGAAGGAAGTTACAAGCCGCCGAGTGCTTAAGGCGGTTAAGGAAAACTGAAGTAAATTCAAAGGTATAGCAGGTAGAAAGAGATATGTAGAACTTCAAAAACTGCGCAAAATTCGGGAAAGTGATATCACCAGCATTGATTTGGAATTAGTTGAGTTCGTAGCCAATCATTCACATGAAGAGAGCTCCGAGGAAATGATGGAAGCTCTCTCTGCACGAATGTAATAAAGGGATACATATTCGGAATATCAAGATTTAGAGTAGTACCCAGCTATCTGGATAATACTCTCAAGGACTTCCTCCACTCGAACTTCGATCGAATACAGGCGGTCAGATTAAAACAACTTTGCCATAATTTCGAGGTGATCAGAGACGATCTAATTTTTCGGATGATAGGGGTGCTGGAGAGTTGTATAATGCTCCAAGGAGTCTCGAAAGTAATCCGACATACTCAAGGTAAGAAGGGTTGATAGAAAATCTACAAAGAAGAAACTTTATCCCGCATATCAAGGACCCTTTGTTGTGGCTGGCCACTGTGGCTCCCATGGAAAATCTTACCTTTTAAGACAAGTTAATCTGAATACTATCCCGAGAGCCTATCATGGAGACTACCTCAAGTTATTCAAACGTCGGGAAAGCTATTTAATCACCGGTCGAGGAGGAGAAACACCTTTCTATCAGAACCTCCGTGCAGGAACATTCAACCATAAACTACTAGCAGCCGTCCGAATCAGGGACATGGAATGGATTGCAGATAATTGATTACAGTTAAGGGACTTACCATGGGGCTCTTTAACTGATCCTGGAAAATGGAATAATTTTCAAGGTTCAAATCTGGTCATTTAAGGAATACCTTATGGTCTGGAAAGAGCTATAACTCGACTGTTCACACAAGTCCGTCATGATATTCAGATTATGTGCTTTATTAACCACAGCAAAGAAAATTCCGTAGCCTCGTAAGTAACTAGACTTACTTTTAGAGAGGAAGGAAAAAGGATGAGGATACTCAATCTACTCGCGCATTGTCGAGGACGACAAGTTACAGCTTCAGGACTAGAGATGTAGCTGGCTGCGTAATATGGTTATGTAATTATAGCTAGTGGCGCGGTGGTCCTGTATTTACGCGTTGTAGATATATAACAATAGAGTGCTTGCGACCGCCGACAGCTCCGAGTCCTAGCGTATTTCTGGCACCAAGAACGAGGTTTCAGCTGATTGGCCAGAAGACTACTATCGTCGATGATTCTACTACATTCACCAGTAATCCAGACGGCATAACGAAGTTTGGTTAAGATATTTCACAGCGATCACGCTCTGTCAAGACTCTTCTAACATTTCAATGCGACCTTGAAGAGATTGTTTCAAGGAAGCTAGAAAGGCAGAATTTGGATTTCTTTCGGTACACAAAAGTCTGCAGCGAGCAGCTGGCTAGCTTTTTGACCGCTTGAGAAGGGTGGCTATATCTTAAGATTCAGCCCTGATGTCAGTAATAGAAGAGCCCCGCACCCAGAGCTTCTAGCGGTTTTTCCCGGCTACCATAAATCCGCAAATGGCCACGACTTTGTTGGCTGGAGAGGGGGATATTGGAGGGTCAAGGGCTAATCAAAGTTTATGATCAAATGATGACCTATGAGGGATGGTACTGTTTAATAGGAGCTGTATTATAGGCATAGGAGGGGAGATACTATTAGATAGCTTTACGGAGCGCATCCAGCACGCAACACGGCGATGATGGATTGGATCAAGCAGATCTCTAATGTTACAAACATGGGAGATGTATATAGACTTTGTATGTCAACATTAGAGCGACGGCTATTGTGGGTTTTGTTTAGGGCAAATCAAAAAATAAATTATATCAAGTTGATATATACCGACTTTATCTATCTCAGGACCGCCATGTAAAGGAACTCTATTCAGGAAAAGTTTTCACGTCAGCTCTGGCCACCTTTCCTTTTGTGACTAATGCATGACTAATCCGAAGCTACTTCCTGATTAGTTTCAGGGTTAAGTATACTCCAATGATGATTCGGGTACTGTATGCGAGAGCACTCCTACAATGGATATATAGGCCTTGTCTGGCTGGGGCTGCAGATATTTGGAGAATTTTTCCCACGCACGCAGTTTCCATTACTACAATTTTTGTTTTTTTGGGTAGAAGGTTCCGCGGATAGACACTGAGCTGAATGGCTTTCCATCGTCGGGATTATATCAGATATATATTAAGTAGAATAGAGGATAGGACCACCGCACAAGGTGTGGCCTGGGTCAGAGGAGGGGCCAATGCGCTAGATTGTTTATCACTCATTTAGTATAGTAAATAAAGCATACCCCACTTCTAGCTGACCCTTGGTCAAGAAAATCTCCAAATTCACTCGTAGAAAAAATCCTAGTTTCGAGGTTCGCGGAATCTTCGAGCTCCAACCTCTCAATATGTAGATTAGATGTAATTAGTGATCGTCTTACGTCTCTCGTGTGAAAAGAGTGATTAAGGGGAAAAACAATTCTGAGGACATATCTTATTTTGATCTTTCAATTGTCGATATAATATTCATAAACGATAGAGAAATGTTCACGCTACTAGTTATCCACTCAGGCCATTTCGCGCATTTAAAAACAAAAAAGTTAGAAATAAATAGTGCCGATTAATTTGTTTAGCAAATGGAGATTTTTATCTTAAACAGCCAGTGCAAAGATGAAAGTGCGTTTATGACATAGGAACCTCCTTCCCCGCTTCCCTAGTCGAATGTACATATCCGATGACCATTTTCTTTTTGCCTGTATTTTATCTACAATTATTCTTATTTCTAAATGTGCCGTCAGGTTATTAGCAGTCTTAATCCGAGTCCACGCAGTCGACACATGAATGTTTTGGACCGCACATTAGTTATTTAAGAAGTTGATATGAATATCTATCCTCATCAGTCACTGATTTATGGGATGGAAAATGATACGAGAGGCTGGGTCATGTCTATTATCAGTGGTGTCGGTACTGAAACCTCTTTCCTAGATTGGCGGTTAAATAAGAGCTGACTTTTAATGGAAAGCTTGTGTACTAGGAGCTTGCATTATCTGCATCGATATCTTGGCTCGTGTCTTACTACCTAATAATTGCAATTTCAGGATTCAGGATAGCGAGAATTTTCTCGCCTCCTCATTGAGTTTAAGTTTCGGGGTTATGGTAAGCTAACAGAAGCAAGACTGCACCCTCAAGCTGAATTTATGGCGCTAGATATTCTCTGCACTCTTCAACATACTTCCACATTCTAAGTCTTATCTGATCAAAGGAGGCAACTCTTCTTCTGAAGCAACCTGTATACTTTTGGCTGGATTTTTGGGCGGTTTCACAACTATTCAAGTTATTTCGCGGTTTGTGCATAATCACACTCCTTCTCATGTCGTGGATTGTGATCATCTTCATGAAGAAAACCTATTAAGCCATGGTAAGGCTAATTCAAAAACCCAACCTCAACGCAGTAGCTTTTTATTCACCCCACATGACCATGAGGAGAATCAAGAGTCAATAGAAACAAGCCCCCTAATATCACCAAGAAACACTTCGGTTTTCGAAAGACCTAAGGCTAAAAGTAACAGCGTCTCCAAGCATAGTATTGAGGCACCCAGTGATCGGAAAAATTCCCTTCTTCAAGTACAAAGCAAAGTCATATCTTTTGTCAAAGATACGAAACAAAACTGTGAGTCTGATGGACCATGCTTTGGGTACTCTGAACTATGCGGACAAAATTGCTTCAAAAATCCTAGCCAAAAATCCTCTCTTTCAACACGCACAAGTACATTGACTAGATCATATACAAAGAATCCTACAATTTCCCAAAAATCACATAGTCCGACTAGAGTACCGACTAAAAAGAAATTATTAATAGCCCAGACCTCAATCCAAGCTACATTACAATCCTCTGGGCTCAGATTAGATGAGGTTGAGCGGAATAGTCAAAATGATAATCACGAGGTACAACACCATCATCATGTACCTGAAAATGCTTTCCTCAGTATAGGATTACAAACATCGATTGCAATAGCCTTGCACAAACTCCCAGAGGGTTTTATGACTTATGCCACGAATCATGCTAATCCATCCCTGGGATTTTCGGTGTTTATTGCTCTATTTTTGCACAATATCACAGAAGGATTCGCGCTTGCTCTTCCCCTATATCTCGCTTTAAATTCACGCAAGAAAGCGATTATTTATGCCTCTATTCTAGGAGGAGTTTCACAACCTTTAGGCGCCGGTATTGCTGCTGGTTGGATTCGAGTTGCCGGCCACCAGGGTTATGAGCTTGACTCAGGCCTTTATGGCTGCATGTTTGCTATAACAGCTGGCATCATGACTAGCGTGGCAATGCAACTATTTGTTGAAGGTCTGAGTCTCAACCACCGTAGCAATTTGTGCATGTCTTTTGGATGTATTGGCATGTGCATCATGTGCCTAAGTAATGCTCTCACATCATGAAATAACTGATAAATTGAATTGTGAAACGGCCTTAATTAGCTTAAAAATAAAATTGAAAGTAGCGGTAAACGAAGACTCCAAACCCTGTTTTCTTTGTAAATAGACGTTAAAATTAAGCCTTTCGTATACCTATTTGAGTATGTTGTTACGATTATAGTCTGCGCATGAAAGTTATGGCTGCATGGACAAGAATCAGTGATTATATTCTATGGAAATATGAATACAAGCTCGTATTAAAGCATGACTCAATTAAGAGTCATTATTAGAAGTTAGAATTCTGTTTTTGTTTTGTTTATTATTTTACGTCGTGCCAGCGCGCAACACGTTTCCCAAGGCCACATGCCGGTTAGCTCAGTCTAGAAAAACTACCCGACGTGCCGACGCTCCTAAGATCCCGGCATGAACTACCTGGGCCCTGGCCCTCCTGCCAGTTGCCCCTAACTAAAAATACACCAAAAGCACCCTTCCTCTGGGTCTTCTGTTAACTATACTGCAGACAGAACTAAAATGTAAATCTACATGCTAGAGAGGAGAAATAATCTACCACCGGTACAGACAGAGCTACTAGTACGTGTATGAGTACCGCTAAATAGTTAGTATGGAGCGAGTGTAAAAGCTAGGAGTGAAAATTGGTCCCTTCAAAAAACTTAGTCTTGTGGACCCACTTGCTGAAGGCAATAGCTCCTTCTGGAGAGCTTAGAACCTAGGGGATTTCAGGGTTGGGATGTCGAGGTCCACCTTGCAGTCGTGCTCAGCTGCGCCCTAGTTGACAAAAAAAGAAGTGGTCAGGTGACTTTTCTCGTCCGCAGCTGCAGGTCAAGAGAGCTTCGAGGTGTTGGAAACGGCGGTGGTAGTCTGCAAAGTCCCCATGCCCTGACCGTGCAGCAAGAAGCAGGCCCAGTGTTCGCCGGTCGAGACTCCTAAGTTCCAGTGAGTCTCCAACATTTTCTCTAATTCCAAGTTGTTTGCATCTTTCGGGGGGCGTTTTGCGTCCAATATCTGGTCGCTGAGTCTTGGTATCTAATTTTGATATCTCTCTTTGCTCTAGAGATTGGCGGTGCAAGTGAGGAGGCTGGGAGTGTGCGGGCCTGTTTGGCGAAAACGTCTGCAGCTTCGTTTCCCAAAATACCAACGTGTGCAGGGCACCATTTAATGATGACTGAGCCGACTTATTTGAAGTGGAAACGATCTCTTCTAGTCCATGCTGTCGCAAGTCCTCCAAACTGAGTGATGCGAGGAGAACTAGAGGGGGTGGGGTTGCTGCAAGAAGCTGAAGGGCAGCCTCCTGGTTGTCTAGGCATACAAACACTCAATGGGCGTATCGGGCCATGGGGTTACAAAGAGTTGCAGCGAGTCCTTCGGTTGCTCCGGCAATTTCGGTATCATAAACCTCAGCAGAATTTCCGAGGGGGAGTAAGCCCCGCCAAACTTCCTGCGAAAGGCCCCGGTATATCACGTACCCAGCTCCGAATTGGTTGTCGATAAGCGCTCCATCTGAGAAGACAAATAAATCTAAGGGGGACTGTGATATGTGCCACTTTGTGAATTCCTGTAGACCTATTCTTTTGCCTACAGCGCCTATAGTTTTTAGGTGTGACTTTTCGTTGGTGTCCCAGGGTGACGGGATGGTGTCGGTGGAAAGTTCGGGGGAGATTCTCTGGTGGATCCAACACATATGAGGTGAGTTCCAGCGTCGTCGGAGCGGATGCCTTGGGTCTGCTGCTGCAACTCGGACTGCGAGACGGTCGTGTATTCTCTCAAGCCATGCAAATGCCGGGCCCCATCCAGTCTCTCGGAGAAGGGCGGCAGTAGGGGTTGTACAGTAGACAGGGAGGACTGCCCGGGCAGCATCGTTTATTCTACGTTGGATGCGTGTGATGATATTTTTCGGTGCTAACTTTGAGTACCATGTTTCAGCTCCATAGAAAAGCGTGTCAAGTGCTACTCCTTGCAGAGCCTGTTTGAGAAGGTGTGTATTAATGCCTCGGGTGGTACATGAAATCCGTTTTAAGTGACCTGTTATGCTAAGAGCCTTTCTGCAGGCCTGGCTAATGTGGTACCTGAAACGCAAGTTCCGATTAAAATAAACTCCGAGCCACCTGGTGTGGTCGATAGGCCTGATCTCAAGGCCATTAATGTAGAGACTTAGTTCTGCTGGCGTTCCCTGTTTACGGTGGAAGTACTGTAGCTCGGTTTTGGAAATCTCAAAAGATATGCCTTTCCCATGTCCCCAAGTAAGCGGTTGATCCAATTGATTCTGGAGCAGTTTTGCGCAAGAGGAAAGGTCTGGTGCAGATGCGAAATGCGCAATATCGTCAGCGTAGCCGAATCGGCCCCGTGTCAGATTGAGTGCTCCTTCTATAGCCAGAAGGAAGAGGATTGGTGACATAGGGGATCCCTGTGGAAAAGGTAGAATTCTTATTTATAATATTTCATGTTGTGCCCGCGCACAGCATGTGAGCTTCTCACATGCTGGCTAACCCAGTCTATATAAAAGTACCCGACGTATTGGCGCCTGCATAGACCCAATTCAGTCACCATTTCCCCTCAAGGATGGGGCTTTAGTTGTAACTAAAGCCCGGTAGACTTAAAAATAAATAAATAAATACATAAACCCAACACAGCAAATGAAAACTAGAATCTTATTATCCTGTGCTCGAAGATTTAATTTAACATAAATATCAGCGTCCCGTTGTCTCTCATGATTTGCAGATGTTATTCCATGGAGATTACAAGGCAAAGAAATAAAATTAGCAAAGAGGGAAATTGGTTACATCACTTTAAGCTCTCTAGCTTTTATCACATGACCAGCTATTTAATGCATGAACTCCCTCCACTGAAGCAAGAACCCAAGATATGATTGTCGGAATATTTCCTATGGATTCTTTGTTTGAGGTAACTCAATAACAATTGTTTCATTCATTTGTATCTATCCTCATTTTGTGACGGAGCGCCAGGGCCTTAATGACCTTGAACACTCGTCACATGATATATGCTTACACATCTATTACTAATTATTACCCATTTGTCATTACATCTTCATAATCATTATTGCCACCCAAACTCCAGCATCCTTGTTTAATGCACATCCAAATAAAACTTGTGTCCTACTATTTGACACTGGCAAAACAAATAGAAAAATGAAAACCAATCGAAGTTCCTTTTTAAACTTGACGTTTTTGAAAATGTAATCTGCAATGGGAAATATGTTAAACCCTCTCCACCCATTCGTTTTCCTCGACTGTAATAGTGTTGAGATCGATGAGACGTTTCAAAGCATTGCAGCAATCTGACTTTGTCATTGCGTCTGCTGGATTACTATTGCCCTTGATCCAGCGTACTTGGGCTATTTCCCGTCTTTCGTAAGATTGACGGAGGCACATCACGTCAATCATTAATCTCTTTTCCCGGGTTGTACCCAGCTTTACTAAGCACTCATATGGAGATTTGGAATCTGTGCATAGAATTAGTGGCACTTTTATGTGTAGAATCTTATCAAGAGTTGATTTGATGGCTGCGCCATAATCAAATCCATGTACCATTCCATACAGTTCCGCTGCTAGTACGCTTCTTGTTACTCTTTTACATTTTATAGAAGACCAGTGTAGAATATTTGCTTTATTATAACTGTCTTTAAGGACAATTACGAAGCCAATTTGAGAGGAAAAGTCATTATTGTTGGCAAAAGAAGAGTCTGTAAAGACAAATAGTTGCAGTGAGTTTTTGTCTAGTGGCACAAGCTTTAGTCCTCTGTTCTGGTTTTTGATTTGCCACAAAACCCTTTTGTTTAGCTTCTTAATGCTACTATTGTCGGGATCCATGGTTTGGGCAGCATAAGAAAGGTCGAAAGAGGCTTCTGGCTGACACACACTCGCAATATATGCTCCTCGCGCTCGTTGGGAAATAAATTGATCTTTTGTTGAGACACTAGTTCTAGACTTATTTCTAGATCCGTAAATATCAATTGGCTCACTGTGGACAGGTTTTAAATTTCTGCATTGAAGCTCCTGTGTTAAGTTAATAGAGCGCGAGCCACTATCTCTGCTGATGTGTCCGCCGTTGAAAGTAATGGGCGCGGATTCAGTGAGTATTTTCCTTTCTTTCGCCGCAAATTTAGCCTTGTCGAGTTGAAGTTGTTCTTCGCCAGCGAAAACTTTATCTGCAACAAATAGGGTATCATCAGTCTGTATTCCAACGACACCAAATCCTTCATCACGTTCGTTTCTGTAGAGGAGACAAGGGTCGAATGTGGATTGTTTCAAGGATAATCTTTCAGTATGATGCTGATGATAAGTGAAAAACCAATGATTTTCTGCTTTTGGCACACCATACAACGGTTTGATAACCTTTAAAATAGTCCCCTTTCCTCCTAATTCTATTGGTGCCCGTATGTAGAAGTCGCGACTAAGATTAGTTTCTGACTGGACATAGGCTTGAGTTATGTCTCTAAGATACAAGTCTACTAGATGCATTGCTGCAAGAGAAAGAATGATTCGTTGACTGACTCTCTGGATAGTCGGAGCCTGGGTAAGAACAAAGTGTTTGTTTTCGTCTTTGTAAGCTTGTACAACCAGACGAGATTTTTCGAAAGCTTTATGCGTACCTTGATGTTTTATCTCATCAACAAACCTTGATGAAAAAATTCTTATTCCAGGTGGGATATTGGAGGGTTGAACTTTTATGAACACCCCTCTTTCGAGTAAACCGTCTACTTCTTTTTGTCTTGATTTTTGAAAAGAAGTAGCCTGAAAAGGCTCTGTATTGTTGACAAAAGCAGATAAACTTGGCTCGTCACAAAATCGGGCAGGTGGTTTGCGGGTTCTTTAGCCGCGGGCTGGGATGTCTTTTGCTTGATTTACATCATATTCTTTTTCTTTAATTTGTTCCTGCAAACTTGAAGGATCGTCAATAGAGTTGCGGAAGTAAGGTTTTACGGAGGTTGATCGAAAGCTTGTTGGGCCTGAGGGTAACTGAACTTTGCATGTTTCCTTTTCTATATT